ACCGGGATAGGGTGGACTAAACAGCCACTCAGTGGCCAGAGAGGAGTGGCAGGGGGTGTCCATACAAGAAATAAGGAGCAGTCACCAGCGTGGATCCTGTCCATCTGCTGTCTTTTCAGAGTTCCTGAGATGGCCCACAGTCTCACCTCCACTCCACCTCCCACAGACTCTGCAGAGTCAGGAGATACTCCTCTGACTTATCACAGTGCAAATACATCTGGGAGGGGTGACCCAGAACCTTTCAGGTGATACTCCTTACCCATGTAAGGAAATTTATTAGACCTTTTCCAAAGAGTGGGCTTCTAAAGGAGTAAGAAACATGAGGATACCACCTGCGGGGGGACTGCTACAGGACAGTTACACAAAGGGAGGATGCCAGGCGAGCCAAGCACCAACAAGCGTTTCTCATTTCCGCCTGAATCTTCAACCCTCTCACAGACAACTTTGTGGAGTAAAGCGATGTAGAGGTGCACACAGCAGTTGTACAAACTTGGAAGATGTTAGGGACCTCCCCACCACAGAAGCAGCCAGCAAAACCTTTTTCCTCTTCAGGATTGCCCTAGAGGACACAGCTGGGAGACCCAAGTGCAGAAGCGCCAGAACTCTTTGTTTTATGAACTCATGCATGCATCCATGCATTCATTCATCCACTTAATCATCTTTGTGGAGCTCCTACTGTGTGCTTTGCACTTTAGAAATAAAAAGATAAATGAGCTACGGTCCTTGCCCATCCTCTACCCTGTAGTCCCCTGGCTGGGTAATCCTCCCACAGGCTCCTCTGTCAGCCCAAAGTGAAGGGCCATGGGGGTAGATTAGCAGTGTGGGAGGCTAGGGAAGTGGGCCAGAGGACACTGCTGCAGCCGTCCTGGGGAGGAGGCAGCAAAATCAGCAGGACTTAGAGATCCCGTTCCCAGGATACACTGATCCCAAGATCCAGATCTCAAGATACACTGGGTTCTTAACAAAACTGAAAAAGATAGCATCATCTCACAGCCACTAATGATTCTAAGAAATATCAATAGTCCTCACAACTACATGATAATGGCAGATACTATTTCAAGATAATCTAAAAAGGAATAATTCAAAACATCTAATGAAAACGTGATGAAATCGTTATAAGATACTAGACTGGCCTCCACTTGGATCTGTGGATAGCCACTCCCTGCCCATTTGCAGTGTATCAGATTTCATGTGAGTCACCTCTCTTAGGAGGAAGCAATGGAGAGGCAGTATGGGAGATGGCCGATTTCTAATGTTCCTACTTTGGTTCCATCCTCTCCACTCGTTGTCTCTAGCAGAAGGAAGATAACATGGAAGTCACTTGAGGACTTCATAAAACACATTTAAATCTGAAGCTCCCCCACATACATATAAGATCATTTTTCTCCTTCAGCACCTCCTCTGTTATTCATTATTTTATCAACATTTCAACTTGTCTTTAAATGTTCAGTGTCAGAGGTTTGCTTTGTGTCCGTTTTATTTGCTGAGCTTTGTTCTGCCGGGAATCAGCTGGGGCGAGGCAAGTTCTCACTGTCATTGGAATAAGCTGAATAAGGAGAGAGAGAGCTGGGAGAGTCCCAGATTGCAAAGTAGAGGCAGAAAATGGGTTCACAAAGGCAGGAGTCGGTCCGCAGCTAAGGCTAGCCCATATGAGTGTATTAGATAGCAAGTCTTCCCCCTAAAAACTAAGCTGTAAATCCAAAGTTTTTATATTAGTAAGTAAAACCAATCAGAAGATAAAAGAGAAGATCCTAATTATGATAGTGAAGAAAATGAAAGTATACACTAACTAGACTCGTTAAACAGAAGTCCAAAACCTGTAGGAGAAAAACAATAACACATTACTGAAACACATGGAAGTAGACGTGAACATTGGAAAGGTACATAGTCTTATCTAGGCAGATTCAGCATCTTAAAGGAGTTAATTCTCCCTGGATTCATATATAATATATAAATGATTTTAATGCAAAAGATAAAAATCCATCTTTCCTTGGAGGGGAGGAATAGGCTAGATAACTTAATCGTAAAGTTCATCGGGATGAGGAAAGAAGGAAGACTATCCAGGAAAATTCCTCAAAAGAGAAGCAACTTGGAGGGAGGAGAGAGCCCTGTCAGCCCTACCAGACCTTAAAATATAAAGCCTCCATAGTTAAAACAACATGGTAGTGATGAATGAATAAAAAGACCAATGAAATGGAGCACAAAATTAAAAAACAGACCTAATCGTGTATGGACATTTTTATTTTGATGAAAGACGTGCTTTTTAGTAAGCCATACCAGGATAACAGGATAACAAGATGGAAGTGAAAACTTTGATCCACACACACAATTTGCATCACACTGTACACCTGCATACATGCAACTTAGATCCCATTGTACGCCAGCAGAAATTCCAAATGAAACCATTATTTAGAGGTAAAAAATTAAACTGTGCAAATACTAGAAGAAAGCATGAGTAGATTCTACTAACACATGGGAATGGAGAAAACTTTCCTAGCTATGACTCAAAATCCAGAAATAAAAAGAAAAATATTAATGTTAGATTATATTTTTAAAAAGAAAATGTAAACACCTTCATGGGAAATGCTAAAAATACTAACCATGTAAAAAGTCCAGTGACAAACTATTAAAAACTATATGTAACTTATTACAGAGAAAAGTTACTATGACATATTTTTTACAAACTTCTAAAAATACAAAAAGTCTAAAAACATTATACAAGATGTCAGTTCTCAGAAAAAGACCTATGAAGGGCTCTTCTGTATATGAAGAGATGCTCACTCTCTCATAAGAGGAATACAAATTAAAGCTTGACCAAAATACTGTTTCTCACATATTAAACTCAGAAACACCCAGCCGGGCGTGTTGGCTCATGCCTGTAATCCCAGCACTTTGGGAGGCGAAGGTAGGCAGACCACTTGAGGTCAGGAGTTCTAGACTGGCCTGACCAACATGATGAAATCCCATCTCTGCTAAAAATACAAAAATTAGCTGGGTGTGGTGATGGGCACCTGTAATCCCAGCTACTTGGGAGGCTGAGGCAGGAGAATCTCTTCAACCCGGGAAGCAGAGGTTGCAGTGAGCTGAGATCGTGCCATTGCACTCCAGCCTGGGCAACAGAAACAAAACTCGGTCTCAAATAAGAAAAGAAAAGAAAACCCGAAAGCTTGACTACATACTCTGATGGTGAGGCTGTAGGGAAACAGGAATTCCCACACACTGCTGGTGGAGATGCAAAACAGACAATCTCTATCAAGGAAAATTTGGAGAGTCTAGTAAAATCACTTATGCATTTGCTCTTTTGACCTTCTCATTTCTAGGTATCTATCTCAAACACAATACAAAAAGTCATACAGAGAAAATCTTTTAAGTATGTTTGGAACAACCTGGGTATGTGACTTTACATTTTCCACTATAAATTTTGTGAAATCTGAATGCAAGCAAACTATTTCTAATGAACATCTAAGATGTGAATTGAATGTACAATACACACTGAAGTTTGAAGGTTGACTACAAAAAAAAGGTGAAAAACTGCATTTTTAAATGTTGACTACATGTCAGAATGGTAGTATTTTGGAAATACTGGGTTAAAATTAATTTTGGTTGCTTTTCATTTTTTCAAAAGGCAAACTAGAAATTTTTTAATTATATACGTGGCTGGCATTTTATTTCTGTTGCATAAAGTCTTAGAGGATGCTATCATGATTTGATAAGACATAAAGTGGAAAAATCAAATGTTTGTCTTGGTTTTCCTATACTAACTGTACTTGACCAAATAGTTGATAAAGGCAAGTTTCTCCTTTCAGAAGAAGTAACCTAGTTAATAAATGAGGAGGGAATGACAGGATCAGACATTTTGCAACTCCTAATGCCTTGATGGATCTGGGCTGCCAGTACCCCCAAACGGGGACCTGTGCATCTCCTGATGGAAGAAGACAGCACACCTATGAAGTACTCTTGTTTAAAAAAAACAAAGCACACTTGTTTCTGGTCATCTGATGGAGCCTTCTAACCTAACTGTAGTTTACAGAAGTTTAGGGGAGAGAGGGATGTGTTCAACACTACCACAGAGATGCAGCACAGTTTCCTTAAGAAATAAATTGCAAGGGCAAAAAGCCAGTTAGAGGCAAAGCTAAAAATTTAGATATTTAAAAGACATAACCACAAATTGCATTGATGAATCTCACTTAAACGAAATGAACTGAAGAGAAAAAGTGTAAGGCAATAGGGCAATTTGTACCCTGACTTGTCAATAATAAGGAATTATTGTTGATTCTTTACATGTGTCCATTGCTGTGGTTTGGATATCTGACCCTTCACCTTTCATGTTGAAACTCAATCCCCACAGGCAAACAAAGTCAGTGGAAAAAATAGAAAGAAAGAACGAGAGAGAAGAAAAGAATAAGAAAAGAAAGTAAAAGAAGAAAAGAAAGAAAAAGAGAAAGTAAGAGAAAAAGAAAGGAAAAAGGAAATAGAGGAGGAAGAAAGGGAGGGAAGAAAGAAGGGAGGGAAGGAGGGAGGGAGGGAGGGAGGAAAAAATTAAAATTAGATCCCTAGTGTTGGAGGTGGGTCTAGTGGGAGGTGTTTGGGTCATGGGGCAGATTCCTCATGAATGGCTTGGAACCCTCCTGAAGTTAATGAGTTCTATTAGTTCCCAAGAGCCTGGCACCTTCCCCCATCTCTCTCTTGCCTCCTCTCTCACCATGGCATCTCTGTACTCGCTGGCTCACCTTCCCTTCCACCATGAGTGGAAGCAGCTTGAGGCCCCCACCAGACACAGACACAGATGCTGGCCCATGTTTCTTGTGCAGCCTGCAGAACCATGAACCAAATAAACTTATTTTCCTTACAAATTACCCAGCCTCAGGTTTTCTTCTACAGCAACACAAAACAAAGACAGTCATGAATTTGGGTGTTTTTTTGAAAGAGTCCTTATCTTTTAGTCATACATATTGAAATATTTATGAGTGAAATTATATCATTCACTGACGGTGCTCACCACTCAGAAGCACTGCGGCTTTCTGCTTCCTTCCGTACCTTGTTTAACACATCCAGCCCTGCAACATCTCACTTGACTCCAGTCTACACACCTTCATTTCCTCACAGCCAGGCTGTAAGTAAGTAGTATTGGATTCACAGGTATGACGACAGTTTGAAATTCCAAAGACAGGGAACAGTATCTTTTTACAGCATGTTCAGAGGCAGTGCTGGGGCCAGCAGTTCCCAAGGGCAGGAACACTGTCTGGTTTATCTTTGTTATGTCATTTCCTGGATGGCCCCCAGTGGGAATGTTTCCCGGTGCTCCCTCAGGAATGTTAGGACAGCCATGGAGGAAAGCAAGAACCACCCGATTCTGACATCACACCATTCTAAACAATACTAATGATCTTCAGCACCAAAGGAGCTGAACAAATAGGAGTAAAAGGAAAGTGGCCTCAACGTCGCTGAGAAGGTCGTCAGAGAATTGAGCCAAGATGAATAATATCTTGTCCTCATGTCCAGATAAATCACAGTCCAGAGTACCATGAAAACTTGTGGGCACGGATGCAGAATTGCACCCTACAACTCTCCAGGAAGTGGAAAGCCTGGGAGAGGGGCCAGAAAATGGAATACATGTCTGGGAGAAACACTGTCTGCTTCTCCAAACGAGGCAAAGATGAAGACTGAGAACAGATAGCCAGACTGCTTGATGGTAGATCCTGACGCAAGTCCCGGATGGCGGGATGGTGTATGAGCCCCTCCCAGAGCCCTCACCCAGGGGCGAGCAGGAGCGGGAGAGACATGGTCGGTGGATTTGTAGCTGGCGATGGTCCAACAACTGTAGGTGGTGAGGGCTGGGCAAGGGATTGCTGCCCCAGGAGCCAGGCGGGAATGTCTCCTGACTGTGCTCAGCCCTGCCCGGTGCTGCCGTTTTGTTAGTAACTTGCATGAAGACAGAGCAAGGCCGCTGATCATACGGGGGGATGACACAGAGCTGGAATCTAATTCTTGGGATGTCGAATCAAGATTTGCAAAGATGAAGACCCATCACCCTGGAAGAATGAGAAGAAACAGGCAAAATAGAATCTAAAACTCTGAGCGTCACACAACCCACCCTATAAGGAAAGAATGGAGAGTTCTGGCTCAACACCATGCTGTGCAAGGAGCAGGTTGGGGGAGAAAAAAACGGAGTGTCCTGAATTCAACCCAGAGTTTTAAACACTGTCACAAAAGCTGGTGGGCTGCACTCTAGAGCAGTGTCCCCAAACTTCTGTTTCTGTGGGCCACTTTCATGATGTCTGCCATAACTGCAGGCCACCTGTGCTCTTGGTAACTGTTGTTTATTTATTTTTTTATTTTATTTTTGAGACAGAGTTTTGCTCTTGTCACTCACGCTGGAGTGCGATGGTGCTATCTCGGCTCACTGCAACCTCTGCCTCCCAAGTTCAAGAGATTCTCCTGCCTCAGCCTCCTGAGTAGCTGGGATTATGGGTGCCCGCCACCACATCTGGCTAATTTTTGTATTTTTAGTAGAGATGGGGTTTTGCCATGTGTGCCAGGCTGGTCTCGAACTCCTGACCTCAAGTGATCTGCCTGCCTCAACCTTTCACAATGCTGGGATTACAGGTGTGAGCCGCCGCACCCGGCCTCTTAGTAACCCTTAGGTCAACTCAGTTCCTTGTAAACTAGATAAGGCCAGAATGCTTGCCATAAAAAGGAGGCAGGCAGACATCCAAGGGCCAAACTACTACCTTGAAAGCCTGTGTCAGTGAACACCTATAGGTCACCTCCCCTGACTCCTGTGGTTTGTATGCTCTCTCTTGGGAAACAGAGGTCCGACTCAGGGAAGTGAGTTGCCTGCTCCTCTCTGCCCATCAGACTGGCCCCAGGGCCTTGTGTCGAGCGAGGAGCTGCATTCCAAGAGGGGGGTGACAAACTAGAGTGTGCTCTATGACTGATCTGGAAGAGAATGGCTCAGAACACTGAGCCATGGCCAGTAGCGGAAGGAACTAGGACAGAGAGACCGACAAGTGATCTTGCACAGCCCGCTTTGGTTACCAGCATCTGGTCACTTTGCCCGCTCACACCTGAGGCTCTTCATCAGAAGAACCAGAGGGAGAGGGACTTGCCTTGTGCAGAGAGTTGGACAGGCGCTGCAGACCGTGCCTATCTCTTCACACGGTGCCTCCAGGCTCCATCTCTCCTCCTCTTGGTGCCTCTTATAGGGATGGATGGCACTGAGGTGAGGGCCCTGGGTTAGGCTCACCCAAGCTCTGATGCCAATTCAGTGTGCATTCCAGTGATGTGTCCACACCCACGGGATCTCAGTTTCCTCATTTGGAACACCACAAGTTGGGTGGGCCAGTTCATGTGCTGCTGGCTGTCTGCAGGCCGAACCTGATCCACAGATGGGTTTTGGTTGGCCTGAATAACACTGAACAATTGTTTTTTACTAAAAAACAACAACAACAACTTTTGGCCAGGCACAGTGGCCCACACCTATAATCCTAGCACTTCGGGAGGCCAACGTGGGTGGATTGCCTGAGGTCAGGAGTTCGAGACTAGTCTGGCCAACAAGGTGAAACCCTGTTTCTACTAAAAAAAAAAATAGCCAGGGTGGTGGTATGCGCCTGCTACTAGAGGGGCTGGGGCAGGGGAATTACTTCAATCAGGGAGGTAGAGGTTGCAGTGAGCCAAGCGCGCCACTGCACTCCAGCATGAGTGACGAAGTGAGACTCCATCTCAAAAAAAAAAAAGAACTTTTTTAGAGACAGAGACTTACTCTGTCACCCAGGCTGACATGCAGGTATCATCATAGCTCACTCCAGCCTCAAACTCCTGGACTCAAGCACTCCTCCTGCATCTGGAATAATTGGACTACAGGCACACACCACCTTGCCTGAATTCTATTTTTAATTTCTTGGCAACATTCAAAAATGAGGAACAAACACATACACAGATTTCTTTATTCCCTTGAAAAACTCAAAAGCTCTGCTCACCCCAGGCCTGTCTCTGCATAGCACCACCCAGCTGGCCCTGAATATTGCCCGCCCCGTAGAAGGAGCCAGAGTGCCTACCTGCAAAGCCACTCAGCCAGGGCATTGCCCAGCCCTGGACTGGCATGGGGCTCCTCCTGGGACCAGCAGGACACATTTGGAGAGCTGTCACACACTGTATGAGCCAGTCCTCCCTGCCCGCTTTGGGACTGTCACTTTCTGACCCTAAGGACGTGTCCAGGCCTGGATTCCACTTCTCTCGGGCTCCCATTTCCTAAGTGTCAAAAGTGACTGGGGCTTTTATTGTAAATTCTAAGACATCAGAGGGCACTGCTCATGAATGTCAAATAAATTTTCAGCTTTTTGGATTAAAAACTACTTTCTTTGGACAGAGTCGGCAGATCTCACTGCTCTCGTTCACTGGCCCCTACAGAACCCCCTTGCTGATGTAGCAGAGCTGGGTCTCTCGCCTTGGTGTGTGGTTTTTCAGCAGCTGAGACAACCTTCTATTCTTTCCACTTCTTTGCACTTCACATGACTCTTCTGCCTAATTCTGGAAAAGACTGATGCCTCCATGATCCAGGGGGCCCATCTAGATGCCTCTGAATGAGCCCATCCCACCAGGAGCTCTTTGTAATCAAGGTCTTCTTAACTTCTGGGCTCCCTTCACATCCCCTGTGGTGGTGTTGCTTCATTCACTCATGTGATGGGGTTTTCCGAGCCCCACTTCATGGTGTGCCCTCTCTGAGCTGCTCACCACTGCATCCCAGCACCAGGGTGGGTGCTGGTACCCCACAGAGGTCCTCTGGAGGTTGGTGGGATGCATGAAGAAGCTGGGTCTTGGACAGGGCCTGGGGCTGTGGGCAGGATGAGGTGCAACCTCTGCTCTCATGGGTGCCCAGCTGTTGGCCTGACAAAGTGCCTGCTGTGTAGACATTACATTGGGTCAGCACAGCCGTCTGGGAAGCGTGGCCGGAGCCTTTGAGACCCACACCTGAGCTCAGCAGCACAGAGGAGAGGGACCCTTTGAATCTCCAGGGCAGCCTATGATGGGGTGACCATATGATATATTACCCAAGTTGGGACATAGCATGAAGGATGCCAGAACATTTGTAAATGGAACTGTCCCAGAAGACCTGGGATGAGTAAGTCACAAGAACTTTAAAATGGATGGCACTCTTAGGCCCAGTAATCTTACCTCCAGGTAATGCTTTACTAAGACTATGTCCATCAAAGTATCATTTACAACTGGGTGTGGCAGCTCATGCCTGTGATCCAAGCACTTTGGGAGGCTGAGGTGGGAGGATTGCTTGAAGCCAAGAGTTCATGACCAGCCTGGGCAACAGACCTGTCTCTACAAAAAATGTAAAAATGAGCCAGGCATGATGCCATGCACCTGTAGTCCCAGCTACTCAGGAGGCTGAGGCAGGAGGACCGCTTGAGCCCAGGAGTTTGAGGCTGGAGTGAGCCATCAGCATGCCACTGCACTCCAGCCTGGGCAACAGAGCGAGACCCAAGGGTCCCCCCGCAAGAGAGTCATTCAGTCAGCTAGAGTATCGCCATCTGCACAACGGAATAGTAGGTAACTGTTTTTAAAAGGTTTTACAAATAATTTACTTCAATGTGGCAAGGTAAGTATGATATAATGCTATGTGAAAAAACACTAAAGTACAGCTTACAACTCTAGTCTCAAAAAGCCAACCCATTCAAAAAGGAAGAGACTTGAAGGAAACTGAGCAATTTGCTAACAGTGGTTGTTTTGGGGGCTGGAAAATTTTTCCTTGAATCTTTTTTTGTTGTATTTTCTAAACTTTTTAAAGTTCATATACTTCTTTCATGATAGGAAAAAATCACCAGGCAAGCAGCCTGGTGAAGGCCAGGGAGCACCATGTGGGCAGAGCCTGGCGTGCCCACTGTCCTGTGCTGAGCTGCACCGCCCAGTGAAGCTGCGTGAAGCTGCTTAGTGAGGCTGCGAGTCAACTCTGTTTTTGGTCCACTTGAAAGTGAGCAAGGCAGTGTGGTCCCCAGAATAAAGGTCCCCAAAGATGTCTATGCCTGAATCTCCCCAACCTGTGATTAAGTTACCTTATGTGGCAAAAGGCATTTTTGCAGATATGTTTAAAATAAGGACCTTGGCTGGGCATGGTGGTTCACACCTGTAATCACAGAATTTTGGGAGGCCAAGGTGTGTGGAACACCTGAGGTCAGGAGATCGAGACTAGCCTGGACAACATGGTGAAATCCCGTCTCTACTAAAAATACAAAAAATTAGCCGGGCATGGTGGCAGATGCCTGTAATCCCAGCTACTTGGGAGTCTGAGGCAGGAGAATCACTTGAACCCAGGAGTCTGAGGTTGAAGTGAGCCAAGATTGCACCACTGCACTCCAGCCTGGGTGACAAAGCAAGACTCCATCTCAAAACAAAACAAAAAAAAACTTAAGTGCCTTGAGCTAGAGAGGGCTTCCTGGATTATCTGGGTGGGCCCAATCTACGCTTCAGTCCTTAAAAGTGGAAGCAGAGGCCCAAGAGTGGGTCAGAAAATACGACTGAGAAGGACTCTAGCGACCATTGTTGGCTTTGCAGGTGGAGGAAGGGACCATGACCCAAGGAATGCAGTGACTTCTCAAAGCTGAGAACTGGCTGGACAGTGGTTCACACCTATAACCCCAGCACTTTGGGAGGCCCACATGGGTGGACTGCTCAAACCCAGGAGTTTGAGACCAGCCTGGGCAACATAGCGAGACCTTGCCTCCTCAAAAAGTTAAAAAAAAATAACCAGGTGTGATGGCAGATGCCTGTAGTCCCAGCTACTTAGGAGGCCAAGGTGGGAGGATCACTTGTGCCTAGGAGGTTGAGGCTGCAGTGAGCCGAGATCATACCATTGCACTCCAGCCTGGATGACAGAGTGAGAACCTATGTCTAAAAATAATAACAATAATAAATAAAAGCTGGGAACTGCTCTCACTTTACAGCCAGCAAGAAAATGAGGACTTCAGTCCTGCAACCACAAGGAGCTGAGTTCCGCCTGCAGCCCAAGTGAGCACGAAGCAGGATGTCCCCTGGAGACCCCAGGATGAAGCTCCACTTGCTGATACCTGAATTTGACTCTGGTGAGATTTGTGCTGGACTTCTGATCAGCAGGACACTGAGATTAAAAAAGGTGTGTCATTATAGCCACTACATTTGTGTAATTCGTTATGGTAACTGTAGAAAATGAACTCAGACAGAGATAGAGCACGGGCTGGGAGTTGGGACATGGAGTCCAGGCCTGGTTCCACCAGCAGGAGTCTGTGTGTCCTTGGTGAGCCCCTGGTTCTTGGGATTCCTTCCACACAGGGTGGGGTGACCCCTTAGCCCCTCCCAGCTCTGACCCTTGGTTTTGCATGTTTGCTTCACTGGCCCTGAAACTTGAAGAGGAAGAGGGGTTTTTCCTGCTGCAAAGCCCAGCATCCCCAGCCTCATTCACTATATGGAATGTGTGGGGTGTGGACAGGGGCAAGAGAATACCGGGGTCCCAGAGCTACCAGGAAGCGCCACACTCTGGCCACAGGTGTCTGGCTGAGCACTGAGTTCTCTGCACCTGCACTTCAAGGTGAGGTCAACATTTGCTCACAGATACTCCTCGACTGCCCCACAGTTTGCTGCCAGTCCTGGGCATGGGGCTGGGGGACAACAGGAAGCTTGGGGCAGTCAAGTTTCTGCTGGGCAAGCAGAGTCCCGAAAAGAGGTCTGCTGGGGGTCAACAGCCTCACCTCACTATCCACCCAGACCTTTGCTGGGCACCGAGAGACAGGGTAGGCCTGGCGTGGGCCAGGGGAGGCAGGGTGGCTCTCTGCAGCACCCTGGAAGCCCCTGCCCTGCCCTGCTCAGCAGCCTCCCACCCAGTGCTTTGATCCTGGCAGACAGGCCCCCCGGTGCTCCCTGTCTGTTCCTGTCGCTGGGCCTGAGCCAAGGTGAAATGTGGGAGGCCTGCTTGGCTTGGGGCTCCCTCTCCTGCCAAAACTGCACACCTCATCCTGGGGTGGCCCGTGCAGGCGCGTGGGCCCCTTCTCAGAGTGAAATCCCGGAGTCTCAGCCTTAGTTTCCCCAGGGTCCAGCAGAGATAATAAATCGCACCTACCTCAGAGGCCCGTGAAGATGATAGAATCAGAACATCACTAAGGAGCATTTAATGTGCCAGTGCTTGGCATGTTATAAGTAAATGTTCAATACATGTCAGCTTTTAAATTATTAATTATAGCGTTAACTAAATCATTAATTCATTGTAAGCACTTGGGCAATCCACTGCTCTCTCTCCGGGTCTGTCCTACATCCAACAGGTGTCAGTTGGACTTGCCGATGATTTCTGGAGCCCAGCCGGCCTCTGAGATTTCGGGTTACCTCAGTTTCTTCACCTCCAAGTCTAGCAGGTATGCATCAGGCACAGGACAGAGGACTGAGGAGACAGCAGCCCCAGGAGGCTGGTTCCTGATCTGCTGTCTGCTGCCTGGGAGGCCCCATCAGAAAACTGGGGCTGGCGGCACATTAGACTCTCCTGCGCCTGCGCCTGCCCCTGCCTGTCTCCACGAGGCACCCTGCAGGCTTGGCCAGGATGGTGGCTGAGGAGTGGGGAAATCTGGGGAGGCGAGCTCAGCTGAGCTGCTGTGCAGGCTAAGCCTGCCGCTGCTGGGGTCAGCCTTCATCAGGGTGCCTGGCTCTGCCCTCCTCTTCTCTAGGGCAAAGTCCTAATGCTGTAGCAGCCGGGATCTGCCCCTCCCCACCTCCTGCCCCTGCTCTTGATGGGAAACATGCCCATCGTTGAATGTCCCAACCAGGCAGCACTCCTTTCATTCCCTTTGTCTCTCCATGCACTATTTGTCTTGTCTGGGTGCATCTGCCTCACCCCCTACAAAATTCCCCTCCCCGGAAAGCTCCCCGGTGACTCCCCAACTCTCTCCTCTGGCTGGATGATGTTAGATGCTTCTCCCAAGCTCCCACACACACCCTCTTGGCTTCCCCTGCATATATCCACCTCCCTCACAGATCACAAGCTCCCCAAAGGCAGGGGCTGGCACCACTTTATCTTTCTTCACGGCGCTTAGCCCAGAGCCTGCAAAGAAGTGCCTGTCAAATAAAAGAACCAACAGTGAACATGGCATGAATAAATGAGTGAATGAATCATGTGGGCATGTGTGAGAGCACATCGATTGCACAGACCATCAGGGAGGGCAGCTCAGGGAAACTGTTTGTCCGGGGACAGGCCAGCTCTGCAACTGTAAGTGAGCAGCTAGCAGCAAGCCGGGGCATGACCGTCAAAGGGGCCAGGCCTGGGCCCAAGGCAGAACTCCAGGAGAGGGGATTGGAGGCTGGGGAAATGCCAAGCCCCACTTTCCTCATCTGCATAAAAGGGAAGAATACTAATCCCTGCCTTGGAGATTTGTGGTGAAAATTAAGCAAAGTAATATCTGCACGGAGCCTGACACAGACCCTGTAAATGGCAGCTCACCTGGGATTCTGATCCCACGCTGGTTTTCATTTTGTAAAAGTGACATAAGATTTATTTGGCCAGGAATTTTCCTTTTAAAAGGAAAATACAATGTTACTAAACACAGAGGTGGTCTGCAGTTATGAGAAGACACAGTAAAGCTGGCACATGTGCCAGGGGAGGCTTGGGAGCACATCCTGGGTCCGGGGTCTGCCGTGGCTTCCCGTGCAGTGTGGAGAAGCCCGGTTGTTATTGAACTTCAGCCACTACCTCACCTTATGCTGTGTGCTCACAGCAGACACTCCTTACTCTCCAGGTGGGTGTGTAACTTTGGGATAAGCAATGTGGGATTCTCCCTCAACATTTAAAGAAGGTGGATGTTATTTCACCCAATAGTTGTACCTCTGGAAACCTGTCACATGCATCAGTGTCCTTTGTGGCATGTCTAATAACAGTGAAAATGGAAGCAATCTCTACGTTCCTCAGCAGAAGCATAATGAAACACATCATGTTACATGCACAGGGCAGGCTATTGCAAAGCCCTTGAAACAAATGGTAGCCATCTACATGCAGATATGGACACACACCCAAGAAGAAAGGGAAGTGTCAAATAATACATATGGGAGCAAGGCATGACCATGGCCAGGGGATGCCTCAGGAGGCTGTGGTGGAGATTTGGGGACAGAAGCACTCTGGGTACCCTATGAATGCAATTCCCCCCAGAAGAGATGCAAGCACCAGGTGTGGCCCTATTGATGGTGAATGTTGATCACGTCTGGACAGGGCTGGTGAGGAGCAATGAGACTCATCATTGCTCCAACCCAGTGTTGTGGTCCAGACTGATAAGTTGTGTTAATGGACTTGCATGACCCGATGGCTTTGGGAACTGGGGCAGTGGGCAGAGGTGCTATGTGGGTACCCTGCCCACATTCCCTGACCTTTCCATTTGTATATTCTTGCCTGGGTCTGACTTCCAAACATTTACGTGGGAGGTCTCTCTGGACACTGGAGGCCACTCTGCCTGCCAGCAGCTAAAAGCCATGGGGAATTGTCTCATGGGAGGAGCTTCCACCACAGGCACATGGGAGCTGGTAGATAAATACCTCAGCTCCCTCACCCCTTGGGTTCTTCACTTTCTCAGAGTTGCCCATGGATCCCAGCTGCCCACAATGAAGACATGCTTGAAAATATGCTCATCACTGCCTTCCCTTCCCTCCCTGTCTCCCTTCACTCCTGATGCAGGTGGAATTGTGTTCCCAAAACTTATGTGATGAAGTCCTAATCCCTAGCATGGCAGAATGTGACCTGATTTGGAAATAAGCTTGTTGCAGATGTAATTAGCTCAGTTAAACTTAAGATGAGGTCATGAATGTGGGCCTTAATCCAATGTGAATGGCGTTCTTCTAGAAAGGGGAAACTTGGACACCAGCACAGGGAGAACACCATGGGAAGATGATATCGGATTGGGGGGGAAGCACCCACAAGCCAAGGAATGCAAAGATGGCCAGTAGCCACCAGAAGCCAGGAGAGAGGTGTGAAGCAGGTCCTCCCTCACAGCCTGCAGAAGGAGCCAACCCTAATGACACCATGATCTTGAACTCCAGCCTCCAGAACTGTGAGATGGTAAATTTCTGTTGGTCAGGCCACCCACCCAGTTTATGGTGCTCTGTTATGGCAGCCTCAGCCTACTAATTCAACCACCACATTGGTGTTTTCCAGCTTGCCAAATAAAGTATTTGCACTCAATTTCTGTCTTAGCATCGGGAACTAAGGGACAGGAGAGAGGACGGAGAGGCTTATCCAGCAGAAATGGGAGCTGCTAAGAGGGGTTATAATTAAAAGAATTCAGGGAACCTGGGGGTGGGGCAAATCAAAGCCCACACCCCCACCCTCTGAATCAGAACCTGGGACTGTTTCCTGAATTCTGTGTGTTCAGGTAGAGGGACAGCAGGGTGGGTAACTGGCTCACGTTGTCAAGGCAATTGCTCATTTAATATCCCCCTGACCAACCCTCTGCTCATGACTGAGGGAGGCAGAACTGGGCGGCCGCCAAACCCACTGCGGCCGGGTTGGGGGCTCAGGGGTTCACATGAGTGCATTACAGAGGCTTCCTGCTGAGACGCCATCCTCCTGCTGCTGAAGACAGGTATGCAGCCGACACATCAGCCCCAAATGGGGTCCCCTGAGGGTATCCCTGTTTAACAAGGCAGAGACCACTGGCAAAAATGGAGAGAAAACAATTTTAGAGTATAGTCGTGTGAAAATGAAAAATTTGGGTTTTTGTTAAAAAACCGAAAGTTACTTTTTGGGAGCCAAATGTTCATCGTGAGAGGAATAATTAAGTAGACAATAGTTCCTATTTCTGATTTGACCAAGGGCCTAGCTAGTATGCTGCCACCTCCTGACCCCTGATCCCTTCTTGATGGATGTCCTGGCTCCAGGTATTGGCACAGGTGGCAGCTCTGTCCTGGTTTGGATATCCAGGGTGGATGACCTGAGAAAGTGAAGGGCTGGAGGCTTGGCTGTGCCAAACCTAAGTTCCAAGAACTCGGGTCTCAGGTTCCCTCTCCTCAAAGCGGGCACATCACTGAAGGGATGTAGTTGGTTGGGCGGAGCCTCCCAGCCCTTCTCTGATACGCTGCCCACCCCAGTCATGCAGAGCAGGCTGTGGAGGCCCCTGAGGGTAGAGTGATGTCAGGAGGGCAGCGGGGAGGCTGAAGTCAGGGGCGAAGGCAGGCTTGGGGCTGAACGGCAGGAGCTGATCTCAAACAGCCTGTGGGTGCTGGAAATGGGGAAGGATTCTTGGTGGTTTGGGTGTAACTTGATATTCTGCCATCTTCCCTTCTTATCTCATCATCGGAAGGAAATCAGACAAGAGAGCATGAGCTCATGCTAATAGAAGCCATTTTTTGCCCTTCTGGTTCCTACCAATTAAATCCTCCCCATTCTGTGGATCCCCTTCAGAGGCTCTCTGGGAGACTTCTGGGACCAGACGGTGCAAAGCTACTTAGGCTAGGAAGCATGTGCGCAGGGCTGTCTCCGAAGGGCCCCAGAACAGCTTCATGGCCTCTGACACCACTGAACTTGGATTTGAAGCTCAATTCTGCCATCAGCCAGCCGTGTCACTGTCAGTGGGGTACTTAGTTCAGACCCTTCTATGCAATACCTTCTGGGCATCACTTCTTTGGGTTGTACAGGAACCTCAGACTCAACTTATACAAAACTGACTTGACATATTCCTCCCCAGCTTGCTCCTCTGCCTCAGTAAACGGCCCCATCACCAGCCAAGTCCCACACCTGATGCCTTGGGCAGAAAGCTATAAAATTAACTGATTGTCACCTCCTCCAAAAAGCATTTCTGGGCCACAACCCATCTCCTGGACCACAACCCATTTCCCACAGACTTTCATGCCGTTGTGTGTGTCTCTCTGACGCACCCAACACTTTACATTTTGATGATCTGTTGGTGTGTCTCTCTTCTTAAATTGTGAGGCCCTGGAGGGCGGGAGCAATGTCTTAAGTTTTGGGAATCCCACGACCTAGCAGAGGGCTTACTTTAGATAGTCTGGGGGAGTCTAGACTCCATTTTCTCCATCACCCCCTGCTCTTCTCTACTTCAGCTAAACAGACAATTCAAATAATAATAAACAGTGGATCTGCTCCAAGACAAGTTCCTTAACCACAGCCCTGCACCTGACTGCAGGGGCAGAACCTTCTAATCTAGAAATCCCATGCGGCCACTGAGGAGGAGCTCAGGAAGGAGACACCGCATGATTGGTGAGTCCAGGAGTTACCTTAGTGCCCTTCTTTTCCCTCATGCAGCACACCCAGCTAACCCGAGTCCTTGCACCTCTTTCTCCTAAGCCTGGCTGCTGAGTTGCTCTCTTCATCTACCCCGCACTGTGCTGTCCCCCCAGCGCCACAGTCCCCCCCAGTCTCCTCCAGAGTGGGAAATACTTATGACCCTCTCCAAGAACTGGGGATCTGATCACGGCATCTGCCCATTTGTAATCCCCTTCCCTGTCTTCTTCTAAGAAAGCTCAGTTCAAAAATTCATTGTTCCCAAGCGTCCTGCCACCCCTGTCCCTCTGCCTTCAACTGGCTCTTCCGTACTGACCTCTAGCACATCCCCTGGGACACAAGGCTGTGTGGTAACTGCAGTTCTGCCTGTTTCAACCATAGGACTAAGGTCCCAGCATCTGATGCTTAGTAGGTCTTCAGCACTCAGCAGTTCCCTGTATCATTTCCTCTTTCGCAGGACTCTTGGATCCTAGGCCTTCTCAGCAGGGAACTGCTGTGTGATTTTTTTTTTTTTTTTTTTTGAGACAGTCTCACTCTATCACCTAAGCTGGAGTGCAGTGGCACGATCTCAGCTCACTGCAACCTCCGCCTCCTAGGTTCAAGCAATTCTCCTCCCTCTGCCTCCCCTGTAGCTGAGACTACAGGTGCACACCACCATGCCCAGGTGATTTTTTTTGCACTTTTAGTAGAGATGGGGTCTCACCATGTTGACCAGGCTGGTCTCAAACTTCTGACCTCAGGTGATCCACCTGCCTCGGCCTCCCAAAGTGCTGGGATTACAGGTGTGAGTCACTGCGCCTGATCCCACTGTGTGATTTTAACTCTGTCCTCGGTGTGCTCATGAGTCACATTGGAGGGCCCTGTGTGGTCCTTCCACGGCTAATGCATCATGGGCCTGTTCAGGCATTTTTCCCCGCTTCACTCTGATGTCCGTGTATGGGATGATGAGGAAAGTCCATGTGAAGTGATTGTTTCTAGCCTGTTTATTAAGGGCTCCATTAAAAAATCAAAAATCTCTGCCCTTTTCTGCAGAGAGCAACATCTCAGGGATGCCTTCCCCTC